TTGATACCCTTGGAGAAATAAAGCATTAAAATTTTTACTGCAATTTCTTAAAATTGAAAATATCTCAAAAACGGTAAGGTTTAAGTGTGATAAACCTTAATCAAATTTACCTTTATTTCAATCGTAGAATCCAAAAATAGAATAATATACAGGGTGTTCCATTTAAAAAAATACAACTATGATATTTTTTACTTATTTGGGACACTCTGTATCTTGTAAAAATATTTTTAAATTGTAGCTCTAATAGTCCTTCAACGAACCCAAAACTTACAATTTGTAAAAATCTAATCGTTTAGCTACAATACTCCGTGTCGTATGTGGTGAACAACCCTGTATATGTTACGGTTAAGGTCCAATGTCCGGTTAATGTCGACATTACCCGGTTAATCTCGAGAATAACACACAACAAAACAACCAAAAACCTAAACATTAACCCAAACATTAACCTGTTAATGTCGACATTAACCGGACATCGGACTTTAACCGTAACATATGCATAAGTACAGGGTGGGTCAAATTCGACGCTTTTAAATGGAAACACCCTTTTCTATAGGAGATAGACGAAAACTAATATCGGTGTCTGGAGCTCAATTTTCATCAAAAACATGATGGTGAAAACTGCACATCAATATCTATTACCGTTTCGGAGTTACGGGATGTTTTTCAAAAATGTGCATTTTTAACAAATCGCTGAACTCTTTTGCTATGGAAAATTTTGTATTTCTATGAAAACATTTCCAAAGCACCTTTTTACGTAGAATTTAATGGTTTAAGTATAATTTTTTTAAAATTAATAATTTAAGCGTTATCAACAGAAAAATTTATTTTTTATTTGGGACACCCTCTATATTTTTAATTAACTGAAAAGAATTTAAAATTACCTTTCCAAAAATATAGCACACTTGATATTTTGTTATAATTCCCTTCGAAATACAGAATATTTAAAAGTTTGCCATTTTTAACTAGTAGGCTTTGGACCTTTTATTGATGATATGCCCTTAATGGAACTCGAAAACATTTTTCTAGCAAGACGACGCACCGCCTCAGAACGCTGAAGTTATCAGCAAATTTTTGCAACCAATTTCAAGAATAATTGAATAGCTAACCAAGATCCCAGCCGTTGGCCGTCGAGGCCGCCTGACTTAGTGCCCATGGATCTAATCCTATGGATATATTTGCGGAAGAATAAAGGTTCCTTATTCTTCCGTATAATCTACACAAGAATTAGAAATACTTAGCAGTTATGAGAGGGTATCTTTCACCAACACTGAGTTAATGAATTCCGCGAGAAATGTTCAAAAACGGCCCCGTTTGTCCATAACAGAAGACGGTTGATATGTCGAACACCTGTAGGAAAATGTCATGTCTTGGTTTGCCATTTATTTTTATTGTTATTAGATATAGTTTAAATGTGTTGATGTTGGTTAAATATATTTTAAATTGTTATAAAATTCTGTATCTCTCTTAGCAAATATAAATTTATTTTTATTGTTATTAGATATAGTTTAAATGTGTTGATGTTGGTTAAATATATTTTAAATTGTTATAAAATTCTGTATCTCTCTTAGCAAATATTATTTTCGTTTTAATTGATTGTCACAGCTAGAATTTTTTTGCATTACAGCCGGTGTCGTTCAAAGCCTACTTATTTAAAGCGGGCGAATTTTTATATACTCTATATCTCGAAGAGGAATCGAGCAAAATATCAAGTGTGTTCTATTTTTGGAAAGGTAATTTTAAATTTTTTTCAATAAATTAAAAATATACAGGGTGCCTCATATAAGAAATCAAATTTTCTGTTGATAATTCTTAAATTATTAATTTTAAAAAAATTATACTTAAACCATTAAATTCTACGTAAAAAGGTGCTTTGGAAATGTTTTCATTTTAGAAAAAATACCCTGTAACTCCGAAACGGTAACAGATATCGATATGCAGCTTTCACCATCATGTTTTTGACAAAAATTGAACTCCAGACACCGATATTAGTTTTTGTCTATTTCCTATAGAAAAGAAATGTTTCATTTAAAAACGTCGAATTTGACCCACCCTGTACATGTAATATTTATAAAAATATGTATGTGTGAAGATAAAAAATGTAAATACCTAAAAATTTGTATCTATGGTGCCTATGCCGCAAACCAGCTATTGTTTATTTTTCAAACTCCTTTCTTCAATTTTCAATGGTAAGAAATTTGTGTCGAGTTTTCAGTGTTAACTCCTATATAAGCACTTGTTTGTGACAAATAATTTCTTGTCATTATGTTGTCGTATTGACATATATATTTTTTTTATCTAATATGAAATTAATAAAACCGGGTATAAGTGAACCACCTAAAATAAGTTACTTGTGTTAAAAGTACAAAAACATATAAACAGCCGCGAAAAACGGGGGACCCCTGCATTAAGTAAGAGCGGTGGTAAGAGTGTGCGACTGCACACATGACGATCCTTTCAACTATTTATGTTTACGTGCATTTCACTTTCAAAACCGCAGAGTATTACGAACAAATCCGGCCGCATCCCTATTTCCCAATCTTTTTCCGTTTTCTGCAACGTGCGACGCCGTGCACCTGAACCAAATCCGTGCCAAATACGGCTGACGGACGGGGTTTTCCTGAAGCCCGTCCTCGTTCGTCGCATTTTCCTGCTAAAAAATCATCCGAACTGTCGCTAGAGGTGCCGCGGTGCCGTTCGCATTTCGGTCTCGCTTCTCAGAAAACGATAACTGCGTTAGTACAATCAAGAGCTTTACGTATGGCGAGACGTGAACGCAATGTACTTCATTCTGCAAAATTGTACTGTATCTAATTTAGTAAAAATTGTCTTTATTGACACAATTTTGAATTTTAATTAATAGTATAGTTATGTTTATGGGTCTTCTACAATCATGACTTGAGCACAAAAACGAAATTTGCAGTGTTACAGAGCAATAATAATTTCCACCATGTTATATGGAAGCGAAACCTGGGTGCCGTACCGCCGACACATGTATGCATTAAACAAGTTGCAACAGAGACATCTTAGACAACTCTTAAGAATCAAATGGTTCAAACATGTCTCAAACGTTTCGGTCCTTGAAAAAGCTAACTGCGAGAGTATTGAAGTCATGATTACAAAATACCCGCTTAAGTTGGGTTGGTCACGTATGCAGAATGCAAGAAAACTGCATACCAAAATCTCTGCTTTACGGTGAGCTTGTAGACGGTAAGAGGAGGCGGGGTGGACAACTCAAAAGGTACAAGGATATTTTCCAAGAAAACTTAAAGGGGATTAACATGCAGAATAAGTGGGAAGAAGCAGCTCACAATAGAACGGAATGGGAAAGAATTGTAAACTCAGTTAACAGCGACAACCAAAAAGTAAAGAGGAAACAAAGCAATTAGATTTTTGAATGTCGGGAGTGCGGTAGACAGATAACATCACGTATCGGGCTTTTCAGTCACAGAAAAGCTCATGAAAGAAAACGCCTTACGACGGTGGTCTGTTCAACATAAAAAGACTCAGGGCAAAGACACGTACAAGATTCATCACAGAACCTCAATACGCTGATGATTGCGCTCTATTTGCAAAAACTTTACGGCAATTACACGAAGAGATGGGCTGGTCACGTATGCAAGAAAACCGCCTACCGAAATCTCTTCTTTACGGTGAACTTGTAGAGGGTAAGAGGAAACCGGGTGGACAACTCAAAAGATACAAGGATGTTTTTCATGAAAACTTAAAGGGGATAAGTATGCAGCATCAGTGGGAGGAAGAAGCGCACAATAGAACGCAATGGAGGAGAATTGTAAATTCAGTTAATAACGACAACCAAAAAGTAAAGAGGCAACAAAGTAATGAGATTTTTGAATGTCTGGAGTGTGGAAGGGAGATAACATCATATATCGGACTTTTCAGTCACAGAAAGGCTCATGAAAGAAAACGCTTTTTAACCATCTTTTATGCGTAACCATCTTTTGATGCGCGTCAAGTACTCCACAGCCAGTAATGGCAGTATTCAATACTCTATTTTTAAATAAAATTGTAGTAACTTTTTCAATAAGGCCACAGAAAGACTCTGTTAGTAGACCCATTACATCTTTGGCAGTCTTCCTGTGTTGCTTTGTGCTTATCAGATTTGCTAAAATTTTTGGCGAATGTTTTACTATGAATTGTTTTGCCTGTCTCTGCTCTGGTAAATTTCTTAACCATTTCAGAGATTTGTTAGCAATACAACACAACGGTACTCGAGAGGCTTAAACAGCCAAGGAGGAGCTGGAATCATATATGTATATATACGACTAAAGAAAACACATATACATCAACTTGAGCCTTTACATCACGATCAATTTTTTTTAGATAATATAGGCAATAGACTTATAGCAGCATGTTATCTGTGTTATAGGTCTTAAATCTGATGGGGCCTGCGGATTTGGAATAGACATATAGACTACATCTATACGTTTTAACTCCTATCTGTAGCATTTGGTAATTTTGAATTGCTACACATAACTTTGAATTGCCATAAACTTTAATACAACTAATGAACTAATATCGGATATGGAGAACTAACCTCTGTAAAACCGCTGCAGATACTGGTTTTTGTCAAAGCCCTGAGACTGTAGGATGACTTACTCCCATACAATCTACAATCTACTATCAAGAAGGTTCAAGTTTCAAGTCATTGTTTTTTGCTACAAAAACATTTTGAAATGAAAATATAAACATATGTATATATTCTAGCTAAAATATCTGTACAATAATGAGTTGATCTTTTGCATGTTGTTCCTATTGAGATTAGAGAATTGGGAGTAGTGAGCATGTACAATGTACAGACTATTGCAGGAGTATTGGAGAAATGTACTAACCGCTGTACGTTCCTGCTAGATCCTGCGACCGCGAGCTTCAAACGTAACCGACAACAGCCAACAAAAAAGTGACAGCGCTAAAAGCGAGATGGAGTGCGAGTGAGACAGAGAGGGGAGCTTAAATAGACTGTGGCGTTCGTGTGGTCGGACAGTATCAACCGAAACTTTTCGAAATAGTCTTGTCTTCAGACTGCGAACATCCGGTATCATCTCAACGACCGTTATCATACATTAACCGGCAAACAAACGACTATAGACCAAATATATCGAACTTTTTTCTCGAACGTTCTCTCTGGAAAAGCGCGCGAATCGTATTTTATTCGAACTGACATTTTGTGTGATGTGAGTTTGGTGGTGTGAACGTGGAAGCTACTGATAAAATTAAATGATCTTCGAGAATGGTGGTGAACAAGTTCACAATGCCCGCACACCCCAATCTGAGCACCAGACGATTCTTTCTCGATAGAAAGGTTCGTATTTTTTTCTTACTCTGCGGCATTTTAAATGATAAATTTAATCATCGTGAGCATCATTAATTTTGTTATTAAAATCATCAGATTTTAATACCAAATTTTCGGTTACGGAAAATGCTATACTTACACGATTCAGAATTAGAAACTTGTATGTACATATATTAGAAATTCTTAAAGAAATTCATACATATATTTCAAAGTTAAAATTTAAATTAATACTTTATACTACAATTTTTTATTTACGGTTTACCATTTAAAATATTGTTTATCTTTTCCAAACCAAACCACATTTCCTGTTCCTGTTCAATGGATCTTTGGGTACCTGCCAAGCACAAAATCTAAAATGAGTTTTGAAAAGTACGAATTGAAAAATTTACATTTAAGTTGATTTGTTTTAATTGATTTTTAAATATAAAATTTCTAGTTTGCTTTAACCTACGCAAAAATACAAATATTATCAAATTTTCAGACATAAATATTTCGCTTTTTTGATAACAATCCAATTGGCATTTGTATAGGGAAGTTGATTTTGTATATCATATGATAAAGCTTAATTTACTTGCTTTACAGAAATAAAAAAATAATAATAAATTTGAATAAAATAAATTATTCTTCAAACACGGATAGATGTATTTTATTCAATTCTAACTTTATGTAAAACTAAATTGTAAACTTTTTTATCCACCTTTACCCTATTTAAAGACTTACTCTTCAATAGTAATTCTTTAAATAGAGTAGGTAACAAAATGCACCAAAATATAAGAATATCGACACCTAGGCATATGAAAGCAAAAATAAAAGACTAATTCATCACAATACACAATACACCAAGTTTTACACCACTGGAGTTAAACCAATTTTAATCATCTGCTGATGATGCTCACATGGTTAGCGAGGTTAGCGAAATGCACGCTCACTGCAAAATTAAAGTGTTTTGGTGTGCTGTGGTGAATTAGTATTTTACTTTGCTGTTTTAAAACTAAAGGTTCCAACCCCCATCTGTCAATAAGAAAGTCATATGAGGATCAGACTTTCTAGATGCATTTTGACCATTTTTCGAATTTTGGGAAACAAAGAAAAACTGCTACAATTTTTAAAAGACTTACCGAAAAACTCGTATACTTAACAAATTGATGAGTGTTCTTTAGACGTGAAATTTCTCTTTATTTTTCTGCTACCACGGTCCGTATCTCCAACTACATAGTCCGCAGTCATAGTTTCAGTCATTATTTTAAGTAGTATTATTCTAAAAATAGAGAAGTTGCAGTACAAAAAAAACACTGTTTATCTAGCAATGACAAACATACAGCAGTATGTCTGCAGCACAAAAGAACATACCTCTGTTTGTTTGTTGCAATGCCATTTTTGGTTGAAAATCTGGACAAAATGCATTTAGTAAGTCTGCTCCTGATATGGTCTTTGGGCGTGTGTATACTGAACTCTTGATTGAAGAAAATATTTTTATCAGCGAAGTCAATTATCTACAAGTAGGTACGGAAAATGTATAAAACAGTAAAAAGTTCTAAATTAACCACTGAACGACATAATATGACTTCTTAAAAACGAAAAGCCTTGGTAATAAGTTCACCAGTATTACAAAATAAGCATTGATATTGACATCTCCTCATTAATATTACGATATTTATAAAAAAAAACGAGATACCTGATAAAATAATCAATTTAAAATTGAATGAAATTTATATCGGCTTTGAAAGTTTCGGTTGCTGAAAAGATTTCGCGAAATTTTAAAATATTCCGCCTTGGCATTGCGTGAAAGTTTCTTGTTACCAAATAAATACAATTTAATTAACTTGCCTTCGAAAAATACCTCTGAAAGTACCCGTTATTTATTATCACTATATAGTAGAAATTAAGCAATAAATTTAAAATGTAATAAAGATATATTAAGTATTTGACATAATAATTTTTTGGTACACGTGTTCTTGAACCAGGATATTTATCAACGGAAGTTTAAGTATATTAGAAGTAGAAATAAAATACATCAATTCAAATCCTAAGTCTTGATGGATTTCTATTGTAAAGGATGTTGCAGATTACAAATTTAAATTATTGTTACTTATTTTAAATTACATTAGATCCGGAAAAACATAGTAAAGAATATATAAATTATAAACTCTAGCAATAGTAATTTTTGAATGAACAAACTATTTTAAACATTTTATTAAATCATTTCTTTTCTTGGGTATTTTAGATCTGTCCTTTAGTACTTAGAGGTACCGGTAAACAAATACAAGGTCAATAAAAATGTTTAAGTGGCAAAACTTTATTAAAAGATAAATAAATTTAAGTCAGGAACAATAAAAAAAGAGCTCACCTAAAATAATACAATTATTAAAAGTGCTAAAACACTTCTTGTCTATTAAAATAATAATTATTAATTCCGAAATAATAATTAAAAATTCTAATTTGTAATAAACAATTTCAACTTACAAAACCATTAACGCATAGAACTATATTAAGCCTCGTATTAAGCTATTAAATTCAAGATCTTTATCTTGTGTTTTAGGTATCTATATTATGTAAAAACAAATAATTATTCGAAGAATAATAATTAAAAATTGAATACAATCAAGAAGTTTACTTAGTCTGTAAACTTTGATAAAAGCATCGCTGATGAAAATTAATTACCAATGACCTAACACAAGTTAACACAACAAAGCAATGTAAAGCGTAAAAAAATGATTCAAAGACGGCTGATGGGGAGTGACAATCGATGATAATTTTGGCGAGGTCAATCCCTAGACGTCATTTACAAGATATTGACGTTAAACTTGTCAAAAATTAACACTAATTATACCTAGAAAGATTAGAAAACAATATTTTTTTCTCGAATAATACATTTTTACTCAATATAAAAATAACTTACAATCTTCTTAAGGCAGTAAGTCCAACTGACAATAAGCGCCATTAAAAAATATAGAAGAGTAGAGGCCAAGTTAGTGACGTCTAGGGCTTGACCTAGCCAAAATTACTATCGGCTATCTTTCCCCAGCCATCCTTGATGCCGTTTTGTTCGTATTAAGTAGGTCCGGATTCGTATCCATGCGGACCTGCCCATCTCTAACTCAGTGCATCTCTAATATTTTTCCATTAGACGGTTATATTTAGAATTATTTCAAGTGTACTGCAACGTCGTTCTTATTTTATCACACTAAATTTGATTATGTAGATATTACTACTAGTACAAACTCCGGTTGATACTTTTAATCTTTACCATACAATCGAGATATTGGGCCTGATGAATAAAGAGTAGCAATTGCTTTTTCTATAGAACTATCTTTGTTGGTTGTTTACATATTGTATAAGTCTATTTCAAGAAATTTAAGTAAAAGCATTTGCTTAACTTTTATTCATAAGACCCATTATGTCTGCAAGTAAAGTGTTTTTTGCTACATGAGGTCCATACCAGGTGAATAATAATAATTAAGTAACCAATTACTTCTTAATTACACTGCTCCTGGTTACTTTTACTTGGTGCGAAAGTTCGACAGACAGGAAAAAAAACAAATTAAAATTCTAGAATCGTCCTTATTTAATTTTCAATCTCCTTTTGGGATCGATGAACTTGACGGCATACCATATAAGTCAAACTGATTAAAACTATTCTAAAAGATATATTATAAAGAGATATATCGACTGTTTGATGAACAAATATTGAGAAACCATTCTGTAAACCAAAAAAGTCAATGACATGCCATTAAGTAATTTAAATAATTATACAATAACATCAAAGATCTTTTATTTTTGTCAATTTTCAATAATTTCAAGTTATATTTTTTTATTACGAGTAAAGGTGGCTACACACACTACTACAAGCTTGACAAGCATGCATGAACAATCTTTTTATACAAGCCCCATGCATAATTTACCTTCGCCGCCATACAGTACAGGCATGCTTGAACAAGCTTCAGTTTATACCGCGAAAAAGAAGAAGGAATCCTGAAGGCATTTATCTTTTTAAATAAGCATCCTTCTTCACCCTATCATGATATACTGGTGATTTAATTCGCCAAAGACACGGCTGATTTTCGTATGCGCGAATAAAATCTTCCAATAATCCTCGATTGCTCCTTTTCAGATCGCTAGACATGATGGCGACGCGACGTACAGGTCATTTACGGTCACGGACTGAACTAATTGTTTGTACAAGCTGAATACATGTTGTACACACCTACCGTTTCGCTTGCGCAAGCATGGCTTGTCCAAGCTTGCATGATTCAAATTCAATCAATCATCAAGCGGCTTGTACAATTAAAATGCTTGCGCAAATTTTTCCTACAGACGCTACAGTTTGCTTGTACAAAAAGATTGTTCATGCATGCTTGTCAAGCTTGCAGTAATGTGTGTAGCCACCTTAATAATATGATGCTTTTTGTGGCGAGGCCGCACGTTTCACATTATACGCGAGGCACAAAAAGTCATTTTTACTCCGAATACAAAGAACATGCTTTGATTACGCCCTATGAATTTGAGACCTTATGCCAATTTAATAATATATCTTCATATTTTTATGTTTAGGTATAAAAGTGCTTAACTTTTATACCTAGGCGTTAAAATGACTTTTTTATATTGTCAATCACGTCGCAATAATTAATACTTTTGCGACGTTTGAAAAAAATATATTTTAGAGTTTCATGTAGTTCTATATAATAAGTTTTATAAAAAAATAGTATATAGGTATGTTTAATCAAGTCTGCATTCAGTATTTTTGAAAATAGATGAAAATATAGAAGACAGATATTTTTGCAGGATTAACAGATTTAATATCTGTAGAGGGTATCCGTATATAAATAAAATATTTATTAGCTAATTTTAAAATCTACATTCAAAGCTAGCAACAACAACTAGAAACAAAGTTTTATTACGTTTAAACCTATTAATTTTAAAACAGTTGCAACATTTCAAAATATCTATTAAAAATTATTATTACTATATGGGCAATTTAACTACTTATAGGTACATAATATTTCGTAAAT